AGGATATCACTTTCAGAAAAGTTTCCACTGATCAAAATAATGGGGGAAAAGAACAGAGGAAACCGCAAATAAAGGAAATAAAGATCCACGAAAAAGCATGTCCGAAGCCTTACCAACAAAATGGATAGTAGGGATTTTGCTTATTGTTACCATCCTTGACTGGTGATGATATGTTGTATAGGCTGGCTGTATGGTGTGCTCTTGATGCCAGTGGAATTCCTAGCCAGCTGTTTGATCAGCATATATTCCCCAAGTAGAGAGCAGTACTAGAAAACCTCTTTCAATGATAAGTGTAGGCACTATTTTGGATTGTAGAGATATTATTTATTTGTAGTACGTTACCGAACTATGTCTTTGAAAGGCCCAGAAAGTCTGTTCTTCCTTACTCAGAGAAGGAATAATACCCATGTTAGGCCTTTTCTTGGACTTCAGGAAAATGCAAGAGATCAAAAGGATAGGCAGGGGTGGAGCAAGTGAATTGAATTCTGCGTTAGAAAGTGTACATTTAACACTTAAGGAAACTCTTCAGGTATTAGCTATGAACACATCCCAAGGAAGATACTGCCTTAGTTGAACAAAGCATGTCATTATTAATGGAATTCTTTTAATTAGAATTCTTCGTTGCTACTATGCATGCTACTACACATGGCCACATATCTTACTGCGGTTTTAAAGTGCCTCGGGGCATTGGGAATCCTGCCCTTTGGCGATAATTACACAGTTCATTCTGTGGAGAAGGGTGTGAACTAAGCCCATCACCACAGTCGAGATTGTAGGAAGCCTCAACCTCTCATCCCTGGGCTGTATCTCATGCCCTTCCGTCTCCCGGACCCTATACCACTTACCAGAAGAGCAATTATGGAACACTGTGGGACTGCATGGTCATATCCAGCACTGTCCTTGGTTTAAACTCTAACTTCTGTATAGTATAAAATTAACGTCACCTTCCTTGTCCCATTTTTTCAGTATTCCTCACCACAAAACTCTTGATACTTTTAGAAGTCCCTTTTCTGAGTTCATCTTTTAGCGACGTCTTCATATTCCATATGTTCTGTGATCAGAAAACAGCAAGCAATGGAGCTGCACCAAACACACATTTAGCTTTGCACACTCAGCTCTTCAGAGAGAAGGAGAGTGTACGATTTCAGTGGCGGCCGACTCCGTTTGATGTTCCCCTTGGGGAGAGCCGGGAGACGTGCTGTTCCTCCCATCGGTCTATTTCCCATGAGCCTCCTGCGTAGGACGACCACCCCACTGTGCTGTGTATAATTCTCATGCTTCAAGGCATGTTCTGTGACAAGCCAGCCACTTCATTTGGTGCACAGTCGAAGAAACAGTGTTTCATTCTGATGCTGAAAAATGTGTACATTAGATTTGTCGAGAGGTAGTTTGTCAATCTCAAATGAGACCTCTCTTCGTAAGGGAGTTTAAGAGTAGTTGTGACCGTGAGATGTCTGTCTTGTAGGCTGCCAGTTAACTACCTTTTGACTTTAATAGCAAATTGCTGTTAACTTCCACGTTCTGAATATGTTACGGTCATTCTTCTATCTAGCACTCACATTCCATATTCAGTTAGAGTCACTGTGTCACCCGACTTAATATTTCTGTATGTAGATAAGCTTATGATGAATGCAAAGATGGTTAGCATTTCTAAGTGAAACTACCAGTACTAATAAAGTTGATGCTTGTTTAGCCATTGATATAATACTAGACACTGTGCTAAGATGTCCTTTTCAGTCACCATCTCCTTGAGGATTAAACCTCAACAATCCTATGAGGTAGGTCCTGGTAACTTGATGTTAACGCACAGTAACTGACTCAGACAAGCAGGAGAATACATATCTTCCTATGTAAGGAGTTTCTAAAATGCAGGTACTCCCAGGAAAGCTGCAGATTATTGCAGAAGCAGATCAACAAGTGCAGATTCACACACAGGCCCTAGGCAAGCTGTGGTTCAAAAGTTCTCGCTTAGGAGTGGGCTGACCAGAAGCTGGAATGTATTTTCCCAGGGAAATGACACTTACACGACAAAAAGCATATTTACCCACGATGTGCCTGAAGTAGTAATAACATAGACTCAGACCATTTTGTGTACCAGTGTTTTCACGGAAAAATTCACTCTGAACTTCCTCCTAAATGGCTGTTGGATACGTTTCTCCACCACGGGGGGAATGGGGAGCCTGTGCTAGAAATAGCAGGATCATTAGAAATGTTCAAAGTCTGAGTCAGTGGTGGCTCCCAAGGCCTGTGATGAGAGTTGATGGAGAAAGGAGGGTGGAAGAGTGGCTGAAACTGGGGACAGAGGGGACAGACAGCAGTCCAGAACATGTTGGGAGAGGAACAGGAGAAAGCCCATGAAGGTGAAGGGTGGGATAAGAATTCCAGAGAGGGAGTAGAAGAAAAAAAGAATTCCAGAGAGGAGAGGAGAAGGAGTTTGAAGATCCAGAACTCACTAGTTCTAAATACCCAGGGACTCTGCTCTTCCCTCAGGTAGCTCTCTGTTTGCTGCTTTTGTTTCTTCTACCGACTCTGGTATTTTGGCCACCTGCTTCCCTCTTACTGTTAACACTCAGCCGTTCCTCCGTGATACTGAGACCAGCTTCGTGGCTTTTCTTGACACAGCTGCCCCCTAACACAGGCAAATGGCCCTAAGGGTTTTTAACTTTTATAGAGGAAAGAGCCCATCCTGGGCTCTAGAACTTTTCATTTTTCACTTGGACCTTGAAGAGCTCATATTAGCTACAGATGCTTTGAGTAGTTCTTCAGGTCTCTAAAGGGCTGAAATAAAACGGATAAGCATTCCCGATGTAGCTTTGCAAGGCCAAGGCCTGTGGGACAAACGAGAATTCCCTCTGTTCCTTTCTCTCCCTTTTGTCTCTGTGGCTCCCTTGTCCTCCAATGAAAGTGGAAAGGAGTAGGCGGGGCCCACACCACAGCTGGCTGGAGGGGAAGCAGTCCAAGACAGAGTGATCCTTGCATCACTGCTGGGGTGTGCTCTCCATGGGGGGGTGTGGGGACCCCATGGGCACGTAAGCATCTGCCAGAGTCTCCAAGTGCTCTTTGCATCACCTTCCCCTGTACCCACTAATCCACATCTTCCTCACTTCTCTTTTAATACAAATCATCTGGACCCCTGGGAACTATAAAAAGCCTAGGTTCTCCCCCTTTATCCCAGACCCACTGAGTCAGAATCTCCAAGGGAAGGGCCTAGAGGGCTGTATGATTAACAAGGGACCCCAGGTGGTTCCTGTCAAGGACATTTGGCAAACCCAGCACTGCTTGACCACCCATCCATCTTGCTGGTCTTTAAAAGCCCCTCGGACGTTCTAAACCCCTTTCTGCCTCAGGATCCTTACACGTATATTCTATTCTCCATGAAAAGCTCTTTCCTGCTCCCTGCTCTTGGCCAATACCTACCTCTCATAACGTCATCACTTTGCTGAAATACAACAGTTTCAGAAAGACCGTTCTTGACCACCCTCGTCACCATCTCAATGAGGTTCCCTTGTTTCATTCTCTTAAAACACTTTGTGCTTTTTCTCCGTAGCATTTATCACATAGTTTGTACCTTATCTATTTGCCTAATGTCTACCTCCTGACTAGTACCAAGCATGGAATACTTAATAAGTATCTTTTGCGTGGATGAATAAATGGAAAAATAGTGCTAGAAGGGTTCTAAAGGTTAGATTGATTGCTGTTCAAGAAATAAAGAAGAGATTATTAAAAAAAATTTTAAACTTCAAAAGTAAAATTTTTACACATCAACTAAAATCAAGGTAACTGGGTTCAACAGGTAATTTGCATTTATGGGATAATGGATCAGATCATTTTTTAAAATAATTATTAGATACCTAATGTGTACAAAGTGCAATATTAGCAGCTATGGATACAACAGTGAATGAGCTGATACAATCTCTGCCTTTATGGAGTTTAGTTTTAGCAAGGATGACAGACCGATATGAAGCAACCAGTTACACAATCCCGTAATTATAATTTTGGTAAATGCAATGAGAGAATTACAGAGCTGTAAGAGCCTGTACTAGGGAGATCCGGCATGGCCTATAGGGCATCAAGTGAATCATAGAATTTCGAAGACATGTGGCTGGGGAACCTGTGCCCAAAACCTCCAATATACTCTGTCCTGTCTCTTCTCAAAGTTGGCATGAAGGGAGGTGCTTCTGTATAACCGTTTCTCAACTTTAGCCCTATTTTTTTATATAAGTTTATTTATTTTGAGAGAGAGAGAGACAGAGAATCCCAAGCAGGCTCCACACTGTCAGCATGGAGCCCGATGTGGGGCTTGAACTCACGAACCATGAGATAATGACCTGAACCGAAATCAAGAGTCGGACGCTTAACCAACGGAGCCACCCAGGCACCCCTCACATTTGGCACTATTGACATCTTGGGCTGCAAAATTCTTTGGGGGTACCTTCCAGTGCACTTTCGGAGATATTTAGCATCATTCCTGGCCTCTACCCACCAGATGCCAGTAGACCTCACCGTTGTGCCAACCACAAATGTGTCAACATTGCCAAATGGCCCTTGTGTAAGGGTGGGGGTGGGCACAAAATCTGTCCCTCCTTTCTACCTCAGTTAAGAACCGCTGGTCTACATGAATTTTGGTTTTTAAAAAATGCCTTTACTTATCATTTATCCAAGTCAATACTGGGAACTTCATTTATTCATTCAGTAAAGAAATATTTGTTGAGCGCTTATTCACTGCCAGGCACGGTTCTAAGCACCGGAGACACAGCAGTGGTCAAAGCCTGTGCTTTCTTGAAACTACATTCCAGTGGAGAGAGACAGACAACACATTTTAATATACGTAATATTTCAGAAGGGATAGTTGGTCACAGGAGCCCTTCCTAAGATGACATTTGCACCAAGTCTTGAAAGAAGCAGGGAAAGAAGCAAGAGCAAGAGGCAAAGCTATTGGAGGGCCTGCAATTGATCTCACCTTTCTATGTGCTGATCTAACCAAGCTGCTTATGTTTCAGAGGATCCACAGAAGGGCAGCTGAATGGACTCCAGAGCAGCCTTAACTCTGCAGCCTTTGTGCCCATCACCAGCTCCGCAGGTCAGTAGGCACGCCAGCTCTTCCGCGGTCGGGACAACAGGGAGGGTGCTGTGCTGGGTGTATTCTCTCTTCCGTCTCTGAAGAAACCTGAAGTTCAAAGAAGGAAGAAGCCTCCTGGCTTTTGAAGCACTAGCAAATGAGCACTTTAGGATGGAATGGTTCTCCAGTACTAGTTTGGGGTAGATGACGTTTCTTGGTCTGGGAGAATGCTATCAGATTTGCAGCATTTAGCAAATATGCCTGTATTTGACCGGTGTTTCACTGTTGATATAGTATTCCCACCGGTAGTGTCTCTCCCTAACTTTTCAGCACAGTGGAGCTCTGGCCTTTGATCACAGTCCCTGTCATGCTAATGTAATGGCCTATTGATCTGTTGCCAGGTGCTTCCTGAGGTCGTTTTAAAGCTTCTCTGTAGGTACCCACATCTAAGTCAGGCAACATTGGTCCAGGAATAGGTTCTGTACGTACTAATTCATAAGAATATGCTGACAGGTAATCAGAAAATTAAAAGAAAAACACGTGGAGTCAATTCAACAAGTACTTAAATTATTGGGTACCTACTGTGGAGAAAGTGAGAGGTCAGCTAAGAGACCTAAAGAGTGGACCAGGCAGTCCCTCCTGTCGGGGAACTTACAGACTTAGGAAAAGAGGAGAGTGAGCAGGGAGCGGGGGGTGGGGGGGGTAAATATCAGGAACTAGGTAAGGATGCAGAGAACAGAGAATAACCATAGACAGTTGGCTGGACACCCACTGTGTTCTAAATGCTTTATTTACATGGAATAACTCATTTGTTCACAAAACAGGCATAGAATGGGAACTTTGCTCCCTATTTCACAGCTGAAGAAATAAAGGCACAGATGATGAAACATATCTAATATCTCACAGCTAGTAAATGGTGGGGCCGTATTTGAACTGGAGCTAACTGTCCTGGGCTCTTCAGGGATTAGAGAGGGCTTTCTGGAGGAAGAAACATCCAGGCGGAGCATTGAATGTTGACAACTCTGCCGGGAGAGGGGAGGTGTGGGGCTGAAGGAGTTCCAGGAAGAGGGAGTGATACGCGCACAGTCGGGGGTGGCGGGGTAGCAGGGTGAAAATGCATCGTGTTCCGGGAGCCCTCGGGTGTCACTGTGGCTGGGGACTAGGGCACGGGCAGGGAGCAGCAAGAAAGAGGTCATAGAAGTAGCAGGACCGATATGTGAGCCATGGAGGGAACTCGGTCCTGGGTGCAATAAGGAGCCATCAGGGAGTCCAGAGCCAGGGTGCGAAGGGTGTGTGTGTGACATAATGCATGATTACAAGATCGCCTGGTTAGACTGCGTCACAGGGAGAATTACACATACCTCAGGCTTACTGTGGGATTAAAGGAAGCCATAGATAGAGGAAAGCTCTATAACCACACCCACATCAGTTATTAATGTAAGAGTATAGAGATTTTGTTCTCTGCTTAATATTTTAGAACCCAAATTCAAGAAACGGTTGATAGGTTAAAAAAAAAAGAAAGAAAGAAACGGTTGATAGGTATCTGCTTGCCTCTCCCCTCCCCCAAAAAGAATTACTAGAATATGGTAGTTATTTTTAAGGAACTAAAATCTCCCCCTGAAGGTGTTACGGCCTGGGAAGTGGGTGGCCGGGAGAACTGTGCACTATATACAGGTGAATAGATTATCCGGCTACAGCTGGAAAGGTTTATAAAGCCTAGGAGATCCCGGAAATCTGTCTACTACATTTGCAGGTCTGACTGATGTATTAAGTATAAAGCTGAGCTCTCTCCATGTGCTCTGGTGGGGGATGTTGGAGATTTGAGGGGCCAGATGGGTCATACTCTCAGCATCTTGATCACTAAGTAATATTTATTGACTCTTGAAGTTATGTGTTAGAGATTTTCTAACAGTTGTAATGAATTCAGTATCAGCATAAAACCACAGAGCAGTGAGGAAAGTTGTGTATCTCCCTGGGTTCTAATATCTACCTTTTCCCCCTGCATCTGCCTTAAGACAAGGGCATTATTGTTTTCACCTTGTTTAGGTAGCCTGCTGTTTACTGCTTTTATCTCCATTGACTCTGGACCTCTAAAGTGCCTTGAATTTGTTTCTAGTCTGTGACTTTGCTGATGTCCGCTATCCTCAGTTAAAGAAACACTGATCAACTTGGTATATGAGTCTCAGGCGTTTTCCACACTTCCCAATAAACATTTTGCCTGAGCAGTGTAATGGTAACCAACCCCATTAGAGTTACTCGTACAGCTAGTAAGTAACTACCTGGCACTTCAGTGTTTCAGCTACAAATCATGTGTTTTTCTGTATGACATGTAGATTTAAAAGTGTTATTCTAGGGGTTTAGAAGGGTGTCCTGTAAAAAGGAGAAGGTTGGGCAGCTATTAAAGCTTCTCTTTAAGCCCAGAAGAAGGGGGAACAGCCCCCTAATAAGTCAGTCATATGACTCTCAGAGGTAGGAAGTTTGTGCCTCTCTAGTAATCACTAAGCTGACTTTGAAAGGTATTTAGCCCCTGTATGGTCCAGTTAACTCAGTTGGTTAAACATGGTATTACTGAGTCTGCGAATATAGCAAAAGTCTGTTTCATGGCCCCTTGACCCGTCTGCAGGTCTGGCCAACCAGGCCTTAAAGCTGTATGACTTTGTTCCTCAGGCGCCTGAATGAGATACTGGTTCATCCCAGAGCACCATTGAAAAACAACTCAGAATCCTTCCCCACTGATGGTGACCTAGTGACATTCTTCTAAGTGTGAATGTTGAATGAGGTAGCGGACACAAAAGCTGCTAGCAGAAGACCTGGAATGTTCCATGAATGTTACTTTTTCCTTGACTTCCCTACTTCAGGCTGTGTGTTCCGAGTCTGCTATGGAAGAGAAGACGTAGAGTCAGCAAATTTGGAAATTTGAGAGGGAAGCTAGAGTGAGGGCCTTTGGCTCAAAGCCAAAGCCATTGGCCTTCGTTCTTTATAACCATGGCATTCTGGAGTTTTAAAGTGGTGATGGGGAACTAAAATAGCAGAGAGCACCGGAATAGATAACTGGCATTTCTTTCATGCTGACTTGATATCATAAACTATCATTCTTGTAGGGTCTGAAGCCACACCAGCGGCCCTCAGCCCTCGCCCTAACTTCAGCCTCCACCTTTTCTGTACTGGAGCCCACCCTCTACCTGCCCCCTGCCCCAGTTTGTTTTGTTTTGTTTTGTTTTGTTTTGTTTTGTTTAAAAAGCTCTTATTGATCTGTAGTTGATGGAAAGATTCTGACCAGCCTTTGAACACCAATGCTGGATTTCCTTTACAAGAAGAAACAATGTCCTTGTTAAATATTTGTTATTTGGGGCCTTGATAAAATACATTTTAGCTTTATCCTCTTTCTTTGCATGGGGATGGGGCAGCACATCAGTGTGACTCTGCCTGCCCACCTCCCTGTCTCCCTGTAATACAAGACTAAGGAACTTACTTTAATAGAAAATAATCCCAATGGAGCTTAAACTCTAAGGACCTAGAAGCCACTTTAACTTTCAAGCCAAATTATTTGCTGGGCAATTTTCAGCAGAATGACCTCTGATTCGTATCCTTTTCACCAAGTGTTATATAGCTGTTATAGATCCCAGGTGGATCTGGAATATAATAAGTTAATAGTGAAAATGAACAAAGCTCTTAAGATGCTTTCCCTGGTGTCTCACATCCTTTGTTACTCCCAAAACGTTCTTCTCTCCCCGGAGCCAGAGGGATAAGAATTTGGGTTTATTACCCACTCCTAGGGCGTTAGAAAGCAAGGGGCACAGATTTGGTGTTTGGCAGGAAATGGTGGAGTATCAGCGTCTGGGCAAACGATGATCCCCTAAAACCTAGTTTTGTTTTGTTTTAATTTATTTTTTTGAAATACACATAGCTGTTTTCTCCTTTCTTTATGTTCAATGTATTTCTCAGCCTTCCCTTTCCTTCTTTGGTTCCTTCTGCTGCCTGCCACCTAATACTAGGTACTGGGCCGTTTTCCAGGCCTGGTGTCCTTTGCTGGTCTTCTCTCCAGCTGTTGTCCTCTCTAAAGCCTAGTTTTAGATTTGACCTCTTGTCCTTTCACCAAGATCAAATAAAGTGTTAAGTAGGGATTTTTTTTTTTTACATTTTTCAGGACCTTTGGAAGCTCCCCAAGTTATTTTCGCCAGATCCAAACCCTTGCCCACACAATCTGGAGCCCTTGCTACAGTTATAGGACAGAGAAAATCAAAGTCGGTGAAGTCAGGGCCAATTTAAGGTAACAGTAAGAATAAGAGCATATTTTTTTTTATTATAACTTGCTGACTTTATGCCACAGCAAGAGACTTAATAGCTATCAAGAGAAGTGATAGTTTCTCCAAATGACAAGGAAATTGACATTTTATAAAACCAGAGCTCAGGGGGAGTCTCCAAACTGTGTCAGTTAGGCTACTCCTAGCTTGCTTCTGTAATAGCCTGCCAGTAGGTGGCGCTGTGGCAGTAAGAAATTTCCTCACTATTGTGGAGGCTTTTGTTTAAAAATATGGGGACATTGAGGCCAGTCAAAGAAAGAAAACTAAAGCTATAATAGAGTTATCACAGGTAAAGTGTAACAGAATACACTGAAGAGAATGATATTTGAAGTTCAAGTCGCAAAAGCCTCTAAAGAGAATGTTCTTAAAGAGATTTATTATTTTAAAGAAGGCTTTTACACTAGAGTTGTGTAGTTTGTGAACTGGACTTTCAAATAATGGGAGGCAGGAAGGAAGAAAATTAAAAAATAATTTTTTTTGGTGAGGTTGAGTAATTAATTATGCTGTTTGTCTGAGTTAAGATAAGCATATGCTATAATTGGCCACAAAGCAAACTGTAAATCCCAGCCTACCACCCATCTGTAGAAATCTGACATTGAAAGGGTGGTCTGACTTGATCTTGTGAGGCTGTACCCACACTTCACCAGCACTGCCCCACAGTATTTTGTTCCCAGCTGTGGCCTTTAAGACTTTCCAGAAAATTCTCTGAAACCACAAGGTTTTGATGATTCCTTTCCTCTTTGCTCTACCCTACACACTAAAGCATTAATGGCACACCTGCTATGAGCTTAATACCCTTCTTACCTCTGGAGGAATACTTATAAGCTTATTTGAGAAGCATTATTCATCAAAATACCCCAGGAGAGCAAAGGAGGGAGGAAAATTATTTACCCACCACAGGATTCATTTACATTGGATCAGAAAGCTTCAAATATCTTTCCCCAGCCCATCTAAACTCTTTCCAAAAAGGAATGAGGAGAGAGAAGGGAACACCAAATCCATGGCTTGGTCATCTACCAAAATGTACCAGAAAAACTGAAAACAGCTAGAGTTCTATTGGTAATACTTGGCCAATGGTCCTCTAATTCTGATATCCAATGATGCACAACTAATGAAATATAGAAAACTAAAGCAGGAAGGTCAATATTTCCTTGAGGAGACTGGCAGCCAGAAGAATGAATGCGACATCAAGCTCCAAACTAAACCGATGGCCTGCCAAGAAGTACTAATGTCCCATCGGCTTCCAGGGCTGTGAGACTTGGACCTGCCGCGGTTGTAATATCACTTTCCTTGAACCTATTTCATTAGTATCCCTTACAGTCCACCCAGAACATTACATGGCAAAATAGGACCATCAGCAGAGAAGCCTTGGGAAAGAGCCCATCTCTCAACACTTAAATCTCTTGCAAACACAGCCCTGCTGAGCCTGAGCAGCACATAAGCTAGGGAAGGTAATGCCGTCCTTTGTGATTAGCCGAGGCAGTAAGACCTCATGCCAAGTGTCCATGGCTTCAGTACAGAGTGGGTGGAGTGGGTCGGGAGGCCTCAGCATCCCAGCCTGCCATGGGGAGGCTCCATAGGCAGGCCCACCAGCCTGGCAGGTGGTAGGTGGCAGATGGTGATGTGCTGCCTCCCCCTGAACGAGAGAAATGGGTGGTTCACAGAGTGAGGAGGCAGAACCCTAGCGCCCAGCGCCCATCACTTGGCTGCTTGCTTTCTCCTTGACGTGAATGCAGTTGAGGCAGGCTCACTGCTCCAGCAGAGGTTCCTTCAACTGTAGTCGCAGAATGGATGCTATCATGAGCCCATCCTACAGCCTCTTCACATATGGGGTCCAGGAGGCCAGTGGCTGAGATGAGTGTTTGCACAGCATGTTACCTAAGACAGAAAACATCAGCTGTCCTAATCTAAAAATGAGGGAGCTGCACTAAGCATACCGGGGACTCGGATTTTCTAAGACCCCCACTATGCTGCCCCAGGCAAGGGTCATATTTAAATATACACATTATCTTACACCTTGTTAGATTCTGTATTGTCTGTTTGACATCTCTTCAGCGCAGAGCCAGTTAACTATGTTTTCTGTATTCTTGATGCTTTGACATCCGGGACCTTACTGAGTCGGAGAGACTGCCCCTCCCAGGGCTAGCTAATTCCTAGAGATCGTAACAACTTGCCCACGAGGATGCCTTTCAGATAGAGGCTAACCAGTCCCCAATTTATATCCCCAATTGCCTCCTTATCTAACTCTCACATGGAAAACCCGCATTTCCCCAGATCACTCAAGGGCCAGGTACCAGGCAAACAGAGACCACTGCTGTAGCCCATAGCCCACCAGAATTTTTTAAAAATTTTTTAATGTTTATTTATTTTTGAGAGTGAGAGCAAGAAAGCACATGGGTGGGGGAGGGGCAGAGAGAGAGGGAGACAGAGTCCAAAGCAGGCTCCAGGCGCGGAGCTGTCGGCACAGAGCCCTATGCGGGGCTCGAACCCACGAACCATGAGATCACGACCTGAGCCAAAACTCAGACGCTCAACCAACTGAGCCACCCAGGCACCCCCAGAATTTTTAAAACTAGCCAGCCTTAAGCTGTTTGCCCTGCTCTGCCTTGCCTTTACCAGAGAAATCCCAAGTAGGGCTGTGGCCTAGACTTTCTCCTCACTCCTGTCTTCTGTCTCCTGACCACACTCGTGTTTTCCCCTGTGACCCTGTGTGGCATGCAGTGACCTTCTCTCTGGGACCCTGAGTATAATCAGCTTCCTCCTGCCAAGCCTCGTTCTCATCTCCTCCATAGCCATACTGACTTAACCGTACCATACCCAACTTGTACATTCTTAGAACATCAACACAGAGAATGTCTTTACTGTGCAGTGCAAGGAGCCCAGGAAAAAAAAAAAAATCTCCATCAATTAGGTTTCTATCCTCAAGTTCTAAGCAACTGGTCACAACACTCCATGATAGGCTGGGTTGTACAAGTGGTGTTTTTACAGTGTGTGTGGTGCTAGCCTTAATCTGGCTGCAGCCACACAAGAAGGATGTGGGTCCCTCTCCGTGGCAAAATCGCCTGGCGGGCGGCCATTGAAATTTCATGCTTTCCTGTCCTGAGGCCTCTTTCATTTCATTTAGTAACCGTTTCTACATTCAGACACAAAACTCAAGCATAGAAGAACAACCTAGTTGGAAGTGGGGGAGGAAGTAACCTGGCTTTCAGTTTGGGGGAAGCAGGGGACACTTCTTCTAAGATCCCCAAAGGAGGTTCATTTGCCTTAAAGAGGACCCGGGAACTCTCTTTCTGAAATGGATTGAGAAGTGGACCACTAAGAAAGATACCATCTGAAAATTGATACTGTCTCTTGCTGAGCTGGCCAACTGCCAAGAGAGGAGTGATGATTCTTCAATTGTTAACAATTACTACTTTGTTAGAAAGAGACAGGAAAGTGCAACGGCCCCTTTCTCAAATTACGTTTATGTTACAGAAGCGCAGGCACCTACTGGAAAAAAATGCTTGGCACCCGGGATTGTGAGGCTTGTACCTACCACTGCCTCTTGTTGCATACTCGTATTGTCCTGTGTAATATCCATTCACTTTGGGTGGGAAAAGATCCTGTTTATTCTTGTAGTCCTGAACTGGGCAAGTAACCAGCATGACATGGCCTTACTTTGTGAGTTTTTATACTTATCACTACAAGTTATCAATCTATAGTCTGTGGTTATCCATCCCATGAACCCACACATCTTGCTGCTAGTTTCAATGAAATGCTTGTTATAGGCACATACCTTTGCTTTACCATCCTTATGTCCTCAGGTCATAATTGCTCCTGAAAGTTCTAAAGAAAGAAACGGCATGCTAAGCCATGCCTGTCTTTGGAAAAAGCAGGCTTTGTGTATGGAAATATTTACAACTCTGCTTGCCTGATCTGTAGAACGTACTGGGCCCCAGAGTGTGTGGGTGGGTAAGTGTAGGGCGTGGAAAATGGTGACTTGATGCATGTTGCCCCATTGGCGTGGCTGGCATGGATATTTATGCTTTATTCTTTGAAATTATAAAGAGAAAGACTCAGATTCTCTTCTCTTCAGAATGAAGAGCATCATTAGTAAAAATAGAGCAATAATGTCTCCTGCTTCTTTGTGTTCTCCTCTTTGGAACGCGCCATCAGTAAAACAAAGCGTTTTTCCCTAGTAACTTGGAAAGCCAACCTGATTGTAAGATGGCGATGTGAAGAAAAAAGGCCAGCTGCTGAGAGTATTTATTTGTTTATGGTTATCAGGAAGAAGAATCATTGCTTTTTATATTCAGTTGGACTGAAAACTGACCGAGGTTTTTCTCCTTCCATCCATTCACTTCTCATTCACTTCCCAGGAAAGTTAAGATGTATTTGTTTATGGGAAAACCCAAATGAAGATGTTTTAGAACTTCACAAGAGTTAAGCTTTTTTTTTTTTTTTTTTTTTTTAATTAAGTCATGAATTGCTTGTAGTTGATCAGGCATTGGAACATGGAAATCTTGAAAACTGCAGCTCTTTTTTTTTTTTTTTTTTTTTTTTTTTAGAAATATGACCCTTGCAGGCCTTCAATGTTTAGTCATCTTTACAACTGTTCTCCAGTGCAAATTATCACAGTGTGTATGTACATATCCTTACCGTCCTCTATTTATGCAGAGAATTTGAGTCAGCTGCAATAGCCTTTTGATTATCAAAAGAGTAGCAGCCTCAGTTTACCTCTTTAAGGAAAGTTATTGTACATAAGCATAAGGAACAAACAGTCTCAGAGGCCAGACCTCATAAAAACCTGCAGCCTTGAGGCAGCTACGTGGCTCAGTCTGTTAAGCGTCCAACTTCGGCTCAGGTCATGATCTCTTGGTCCGTGAGTTCGAGCCCCACTGACAGTCCAGAGCCTGGAGCCTGCTTTGGGTTCTTTGTTTCCCTCTCTCTCTGCCCCTCCCCTGCTTGCACTCTGTCTCTCGCTGTC